AGTAACCGCCGTGTGTACCTATATACGTAGGTATATGTATGAAAGTTACGAGAGAGGTGTGTCAGGATCGTGCCAAATGGAAGTTCGTAGTCTCTGCCTGTAAGTCTGGATGACAGGCGTGAGTGTTTATGTACGTATATGTATTTTAGAATCTAAATCGAAACATCTTGTTTAAAAAACACACACATATCGCGTTAGGAACATTCTCGCGCGATGATTATTTACGATTTAAAATGTCGCCTAAAACCGGAAGAATCGTTTGATTGACTTCGAATGGCATTTGTGTATAAATAACTATCTGTGTAACAATTTCAGTACGGTTGACCGACTTTCATAGATGAAGAAAAAAGTAATCTGCATTTGATAGCTGTTACGGGAGAAAATGTGCTAAAAGTGAAAAGTGTAGAAAATGGGTGAATTATGCAGTAGAGATTGAGCACAAATTACGGATGGGATTAAGAAGCATTCACGAGATTTTCGAGATTTTCGAGGACGATAGTTTCGCGTTTGGAGCCGATCAACCTCGCCATCAAAGCTCTGAAGCAGGCGCCCGCGCTATGTTTACTTGACAAGATTAGTATATTTAAACAAGTTCAAGTCGTAGATTTATTTAAGAATCGAATCATTAGTCGACGTTGAGGCTGTTTTATATGAACCAACGCCTATCAAAGTTAAATGTGCCAGAAGCGCAGGTAGGATTTTAATCGCAGGTTTTTTCACTTTGACGAGGTATCTGGTATCAACTCCATTAAGAAATTCAAGAAGAATTAACACTCAACGATTGTACTCGTATGAAGGGCTCCGAAGATCGCTACTTGACGATAACAACGCGTCCGCACACTCAGCGCTCAAAACGAATCACTTCCTGGACAGCACACCGGTTAAATTTTTGGGTTAACCTCCTTATAGCCCTAAGTTGTGAATTGAGTTAGCACCGTGTGACTTATTTTATTCCCTAAAATAAAATATCATCTGGAAAGGAATACAGTTTTCGTTGCCAAAAGATGTTCGAACAGGTCGTAGGCAGGTAGAGGTGGATTAGAAAAAGTGTTTTGATTTTTTTTGCAAAACTTTCTGAGTGACCCACTTAGGGCCACCTTCGAAAACTTTAATGCCATTTCTAGCTTAAGTTAGTTAGCATTAAATTTTAAGTAATAAAAAGGTTTTATATCATTAATAAAACAGAATAATTTGTATGCAAGGATATAAATTGGTACCCTTCAAGTCACATTCGCCTAAGCATGTATGTTTTACAGTTTTACATATAGGTACGTGTATATTTTAAAGATGTCAAAATGACGTCGACAGTTGGGTTCAGTCGTTTTATTCACAAGGTTGTGTGAATGAATTTTTAATATACTGGAAATTCTGTTATGCTCAGAATTAAATGTGTGTTTAAATACGTTTAAATACGTAAAAAATTTCTGAATACGGCAACTTCTTAACCAATGTAAACAAAGCGCATTCGAATCAGAACGTTGTCTACACTCTATATTGCTTAAAATTAAATAAATTTGGTAGAAATTTTCTGTTCAGATGCTTGCTTTGTTCAGACGCTTGCCATCAATATTTAAATTATATATTAGACTAGCAGGCGACGACCCTCTGTCATATAAAAAATCATTACATTCGTAAAAATATACATCGAGGGTCACTATATAAATGGCAAAAAACTATCCGATCTCTCATGTTGGACCGAACTTCATACAGTGTGCAAAATATTATTGAAATCAGTTCAGCAGTTTGGGAGTTTATCGCGGACAAACAACTTGACACGTAATTTTATATATATATATATATATATATATATATATATATATATATATATATATATATATATATAATTACAGCCCTTCAAAAGTCCACTGCAATCGTCGACTTTCTGCATCTACCGTCACTCCATCTAGTGGGGGGTCGCCCTACTCGACCGGTACGAGGCTGCCACTCGAGAACCTTTCTTCTCCATCGGTTATCGGTTCTTCGAGCTATATGGCCGGCCCATTGCCACTTCAGCTTACTAATCCGTTGGGCTATGTCGGTCACTCTGGTTTTACTGCGGATATCCTCATTTCTGAGTCTATCACGCAGAGAGACTCCGAGCATACCCCTATCCATAGATCGCTGAGCGACCTTGAGCGTCCTCATACGACCAGCAGTGAAGGACCACGTTTCAGAACCGTAAGTCATCACTGGCAACACGCACTGGTTATACACTTTAGTTTTCAGAGATTGAGGTATACCTGACGAGAAGATGTGTCGTAATTTCCCGAACACTGCCCAGCCGAGTTGAATCCGTCGATTGACCTCTGAGGTCATTGAGCATAGTGCGAAGGTGCTCCAGCGATTCTGCCATAAGGACTATATCGTCGGCAAATCGAAGGTGAGTGATGTACTCGCCATTGATGTTAATACCGTATCCTTTCCAATCCAGTAACTTGAAAACGTCTTCCAATGCAGCGGTGAAGAATTTCGGGGATATAACATCACCCTGTCTTACACCTCTCTGCAGTTGGATAGGTTTCGAACTCCGGTTCTGTACTCGGATAGCCATCGTAGCCCTACTGTACAAACACTTCAGCACTTCGATATACCGACAGTCAACTTGGCACCGCTGAAGGGACTGTAGCACTGCCCAAATTTCGACGGAATCAAAGGCTTTCTCATAGTACACATATGCCAGGCAAAGTGGCAGATCGTACTCTTCGGTTTTCTGTACAATCTGCCGCAGGGTATGTATATGGTCTATGGTACTGAAGCCTTTTCGGAAACCGGCTTGTTCGGGAGGCTGGAAGTCGTCGAGTCAGCGTGCGAGACGATTTGTAATGACTCTCGAAAACAGCACGTAGACGCGGCTCAGAAGGGAAATCGGTCTGTAGTTCTTCAAGAGAGCGTTGTCGCCTTTCTTAAAGAACAAGACCACCGCGCTTCTGCTCCACGCCTCCGGAGTAGTGCCACCATGGAGGACGGAATTGAAGAGCTTCTGAAGGACTTCAAGTACCGGTATTCCACCCGCTTTCAGAAGCTCCGCTGTAATTCCATCCTCGCCCGGGGCCCTGCCGTTTTTAAGATGGTGGAGAGCCATTCTAATCTCGCTCAGACTAACGTCCGGGATATCATCGGAATAGTGTCGGATAAGACTTGCTCTTGGATCGTTACTCACACTTGCGTGTGGCTCCAACGATGATGTGTACAGCTGCCCATAGAACCTCTCAATCTCACTCAGAATCTCAGGTGTCAGTATGCTGTCAAATCTATTGACGATTGCAGCCTCATCTCCCGTCTAGCAGCCATGAGATTAAGAGTGTGATCGGAGAGTTTTTGTGTTCTTCTGCGACGGGTCTTGCAGAACTTAGCTCCGACCGCATGGACAGTTTCCACGAGCTTGTCGTTCATATCGTCCACTGCATTGCAATCCTTTAGGCACTGAAACCGGTTTTGTAACTCGAGCTGAAAGGTTTCGGGATTCTGGATTAGAGCACGAGGGGGACGGAGCGTTGACTTCATTAGACGAGACCTCTCCAACTTAACGTTTAGGTTCAGTGTGCCTCTAACCATTCGGTGATCGCTGCCAGTTTTCACCCTTGCGGTCACTGAGACATCACTGAACAGTGGGCGTCTGGTCGTCATAATGAAGTCAATCTAATTTTTTGTCGAACCGTCGGGGCTCGACCAGGTCCACTTCCTGTGGGGCCGCTTCTGGAAGAAAGAGTTCATCATAAAGAGTCCCTCTTTCTCCATAAAGTCGGTCAGCTGCTGGCCCCTTCGGTCCCGTTGCCCTACTCCAAATTTCCCTACCTTCAGCTCACCGCTTTCTCTTGTGCCTAGTTTTGCGTTGAAGTCTCCCATCAACACCGTGTAGTGGGTTTTGGAGGAATGCATGGCTCTGGAAATATCCTCATACATTTCCTCCACCTCCTCATCGGGATGTGCCGAGGTTGGTGCGTAAACCTGTATGACCTTTAGCGAATACCGTATATATATATATATATATATATATATATATATATATATATATATATATATATATATAACGTGGAGCCACGCTGCAGCTATATTATGGTTGTAGCACGAATGTTGTCGGCTCGATCGGGGGGAGGACTTAACTCTCACAGATTCCCAGCGTAAAATAGCAGCTTCGTGTTGCTGTGTTTCGTATGGTGAGTGTAGAGAATCGGTGACCATTTTACTGGCAACGAGGCATTCCATCTCAGTCCTCAGGGGTGACAATGCATCCGCATTTTGATTCTTAATCGAGGACAAATGTAGATGTCTATGGTCCACAGTATCTACTTAACATCAGGTGGACTGTGTCCGTTTATCACCCTCATTCTATATAAAAAAGCAACATTTAAAATTAAAAGAAAACTCATCTTTGAAGTTGGCTGAACTACGTTGCTTTTCTAAAATTCTCCCTGCTTTAGTACTAATTCGCTCGACTATTGCGGGCCGGGGAGCAAAGTAACGTTATCACACCTACACACCGTATTACACATAGAATACTATAATACATACATAATAGAACGGTAACGGAGTGGGCGGAGTCCGCGTAGCCACTAAAATGTCACTTAAACGTCAATTCACACGTACCTATAAATGTCAACACGAGATGTGTTTTGACGTTACAATCGTTTCCAAATTTCGCATGCAAATTACTTAAAAAATGCCAAATTGCACCCTATTTACAAATAAATATGTATTCAAATTTAAACGATTTTTTTATGATGATCTTGAACATTAATCAAAAGTCTAAAATGTGTAAATTTATTCAGTCTGTCAACACAGCGAATCGGGTTTGGCGACGCCAAACCTCGTACAAAAAAAGTTGACAGCCATTCTATTGTGTATTATAGTATTCTATGATATTACAAGAGGACATTAATAACTTTTGTTAGAAAATCATTGTGGTGCCCATAGCGTGCTGCTTCAGTAGTTACTTACTATCAAGTCGATTACTTTATTTGTTTAGACCTTAAACATGAAAAATAAGAACTGAATTATACCTGGTAACATATAAGCGCCATTCGTCCATCGTGTGACCAAGAGAAGTGTGTGACGGGCGTGCTTCTGTCGTTGATGAGCTCGATGCTCCAGCGACCCTCGTACTTGATCCACACGAAGATCACCCCCGAACTGTCGCATGATGCCAGCTTCTGATAAGGCTCGTTCCATTTTACGAGTATTACCTAAACAATAATAACAATCAACTCTAATAATCATATTTTACATAAGTGTTATACGGCATGTATTATAAAATACCCCGTAGTATTGTGGAAGAGTACCTGGCACTACGCCGCGGGCGCTAGAATCGAATCTCAATCAAAGCTAATTTACTAATAATTTACTGCCTAAACCTGTGATATCCGGCAAGGGTAACTTAGGATTAGGATGACTGGTAAGTAGTGAAGATAGTGAGGGCCGCTGCGTTTTCGCGTAGTAGGTATGCTTGGCATAGCTTTATAACCTTACGCGCCTTTGTTATTTCGTCTACATAAAATTTATAATTATAAATGAACAAAATATTATCTTATTCTTATACTGTTTAAATTATTTAAAGCAAGCAAAGATGATACGTATATATACTGTGAGTTAGATGACATATTATATGTAAGTATATAAGTATTGAAAGTGAATTGTAGCTTATTATATACAAACTTAAAATTTAATAAATTACGATCGAATTACGATCGAATTTCGACCACTAGTAAATATAGAGCCGAATCAGTCTTATTATTAAACTCGCAATAAGGCTGACTCGGTCGGTCGTATTACAAATTGTGGTATATAAATTGTCAAAAGGGTTGTTGTCACGAAAGAAGTCCCGAAGCAACAGCGATAGTCTTCGTGTAATTTGACATTTGCTGCATATTTGCTGTCAAATTTCATAATTTACATTTTAATTTGCGTATTTTCCGCGGGACTTTATTATTGAAACAGACTTTGGTTAAAACCTGATACTAATTATTATTAACTACTTTTTGTAATAAAACTAACTGAATAATATTTTGGCAATAAGAATTTATCAGAGGAATAAATAAAACGTTATAAAACGAATGAAGATCTAAGAACGGCAAAGTTAAAAAAGAAATATCGTAAAAATGCGCGTTTTAAACTAAAACTTTGCTCAATTATACAAAACAATAAAATATTTATTATTTTGAAAAATAGGACCCGTAGGGAAAAAGGGCTGAAGACTTGAAAGGAAAAACAGCGTATCAAAAACTTTGAGTTTAAAAAATCTGCCAACAATAAACTACAATAATAAGCAATAAACTGCTGGATCAAAGCAATTTTGCACATAAAGTTCTATATTTAAGTTATCCCGACTTATCGCTACGTAGTGCTACCGTACTTCTAGAATAGCATAGAAGATAACACTCTTATTTGCACCCAAAATCTAAGGAATAATTCTTATTACTTAGTATTATTCACTGACCAACCAGGCTTTGGCAAACTATTGATGTCGGAAAATCCATTCAATGACTCCCAACGTAAACCCCACGGACTGGTGATGGGGGACTGCATCATCTGTGCGAGCGTATTGGCCCTATGCATGACAACCTGTCTGTCCAGGAATAGGTAGATTTTCCAAGAAATGCTCAACAACTCATTCTCGTAAACGCTCTACGTATTACACTTACGTGTTAATGCTATTTATTTTATTTGTTATATTTTATTTAGGTATTGTATTTTGCTATTTTAAAAATTATACTTTTTTAATGAAAAGGTTTAATACGACTTCAAAAAATTTAAATCTACTGCACCACGACGTTTTTTACGTAGGCAGGACGATTTTTATAAATTCCGTTTATTACATTATTGTTGTGGCACATACTTAAGTATAAATGATTTCGGACAGGTTTCTAGTAGGTACAGGAGGATTTTATCATCTCCCATCCGTGCTTCTTCTTCTTCCGCACGCACGCACGCACACATATACATGTACGGTATCTTGGTGGATGTCACATGATCACCATCAGTATCATCGTCATTAAAGTACATCGAGTCTATTGCTGAATATAGTCACTATTTTTTCATCATTTGGGATGGTATGTACTTTGTCTTCATGGCACCCAAGTTGTCCTAATAATTATTTTTTATTAAACGACTACTATTTAATAAAAAATTGGTTGACCCTGCAAACCATCCCTGGAACTTCCCGCTAATTTCACATGCAAAGCGCTCCAAATTTCACAAAATTATGTTGAGAAATTTCGAAGTTATATTGAATGTTGAATGAGAAAAAACGTTTTTTTTTTCAAATTTTTTCTCCTCAGATATCTCACGAACGAATGAACCGATTTTTTATTTTCCAAACGGCATTCAACGTCATTTTTGAGGTTAAGAGCTGATTAGTTTTTAAAATCGATCAGAAAAGCCGTTTCAAAGATATTCCAAAAAACAGTTTTTCAAAATATTTATTTTTGAGATTTCTCAAAATTTACTTGTCCGAATCGGTTCATATTATCACCAAATCTATTCCACATTGAGATCTTTAGAACCCGCATCGCAATCGATCATGACGTTCAAAAGTTATGACAGGTTTACATACTTATACACACGCACACACTCACACACACACACACACACACACACACACACACACACACACACCACACACACGCGCGCGCGCGCACACCTGCACGCACACACACACACACACACACACACACACACACACACACACACACACACACACAATTTTAAAGTTTCTTCGCGGGAAGTTAAAAATAATTATTTAAATTTGTTCTGTCGTTTTCGTGAACTCAGTAATCATACATAAAAAAACGCCAAGAATATAGAAACTTCTTGATTTTTGAACTTGGTTAATAATATAAGTCGGTAGAAAAATATACCTTAAATTGACGAAGGATAATAAAATGGAATAAATGGTTGGTAAGAAGGCGAAAATTCGACGGGATAATTTTTTCCTCTGAATAATTAAAAAGAATATCCAATTTAACCCGTATCACGCGCTGATGAAAATTATTAAAACCTTAATGAGTTTTCCTCGCCTCTTTGTATTCTTTTAAAGCACTATTAAGTTAAATTTTCAAGTAACTCTGAGAGTTTACTAGTAAGTTTTATTTAAATCTTATTATGAAAGATGCAATATTTTTTTATAAAACTGAAGTGGCGAAGGAACTTACAGTCCACGGGTCCACGGGTGCGGTGCCACGGGCAACCAACTTCAAACAAAGAAGGCTACAGTTGCATTGTCACCTCTAAGGATTTTTTTATAGCATTGCATGACAAACGAGCACACAGTCCACCTGATGGTAAGTGGATGTTGTGACTCATTAATCTCAATTAAGAATCAAAATGCAAACGCGTTGGCACCACTGGGGACTAAGGTGGAATGCCTCGATTCCTGTAAAAAGAGTCTCCGGTTCTCTACACTCACCATACGAAACACAGCAGCATTATGCTGCTATTTTACGCTGGTTTTCTGTGAGAGCGTGGTCTTGCCACGGACGAGCCTACACATTCGTACTACAACTATAATCTAGCTGAAGCATGACTCTACCACGTAAAATTATGAGGAAATGCGAGCTGAAAGACTTTTAAAAATTAGATATTTGAACAAAGTATCGTTCTGCGAGCGCGAGTGCGATAAGGACAACTGCAGATCCGACTGAATAGCCTGAGTAAAAAGGCATAATTCGAGGTTTGGCTCTCTACTATTTCCTCCTACAATGTTGGACCAATTTGAAAGATATTTCCTAAACTGAATAAGAAGGAAAATTTTTCTTTTTTCAGTATTAGTTATTAAATTTGAACACTATAGCCAACGACATTTCAGGCCATACCGGGGCACACAAAAATTTGGGGCCCGATTGGAAAAAAAATGAATGTCAAAAACATTTTTCTTCTATGATAGCATACGTGTGTAATTACTCTAAGGCTATTTTTTCCTGGCTTTTCTTCTCCCGGGCGCCGCCCTTTCACGGAAAGGGGTTTATTTTTTTTTTTTTTCAACATTTTTTTTTTTTTTCTTTTTTTTCATTGTGGTGTTTTTATATTCATATTTTTATATTAAATAAATCATTTGCCGTTAAATCTTTTGAAGTGTTATTTTTATTAAACAGTACGAAATGATATTTTTATCTCATAGATTTAAAACACATAGAGTGCCAAAAATTAAAAAAAATCAGGCTATAAATAGTATGGCGACTGTTCAGCCCGACAAAAAGGTTTAAATGGCGGCCAAATGCGTAACTAGATATTTCTGGGAAATCTGTCGATGCCACTTTTTCTGGCTAACTCGGCAATAACTGCGCAGGGCTACCAGAAAGTCTCTATAAATTTTTGTCGACTTACATTTTCCTAAAATAGAAAAAAGATTGTATAGCCTAAGCGAACAAGACCGATGCCTTTCGCCACGGGGGCTCCCGTGGGACCCTAGGCGCGGGCCCCGTGTGCCCTTACGATAAAGATGGTATTGACTATATATGTTTGCAGTGGTCTAAATAGACAATTTTGAGCATTTTGTAAGGGGTTCTAGTGCTTATCAAGATAATGTAACATCAAAAAGGAAAAGAGGGGCATAGAAGAGGTTGATATTTATTTTACTGTAAAAAATCCTTGCTATTAAGGTTGTAAATCAGAAAGAAAACAGGCGAGAGTGTTTGTATGGTGAAAAGGTCACCCGCATTTCGTCTTAAGGCAGAATGCCTCACTGCCTCCAATTATTCTGGTCCCCTGTACCCTGCAGACCGAAACAGCAGTGAGGCACTGGGAATAGGCAAGAGCGTGGTACCTATATAGACAAATTGAATTCTAAGCAGAAAAGAAGTCTTTCCATATAGTTACTAAAATAAGAAAAAGGAATCGCAATTATTACTTTGAGATATTAAAAATGAATTTTACTATAAGATGCTTTGAAAATCTTGTTAATTTAATATTTTAATGAAAAAATTAGCCCCAAAAATTTATATCGGCTATAATATCATTTTTATACACATTTTCTAATACTATTATCCTAAATGTTATTGACAAGCTTTTAAAAGCTTATTCAAATAAAAATAAAAATCCGACTCTCTGGATAGATGGCACTCTCTCGTTTCTCCGCGCTACGTAACAGTATGTTCCAGTTTAGAGGCATTATAATTACGGGTTACGAGGTACTCGTGCATAATCCTTGGAGGTCACTACGAAACTGTATTTTTCTTCGTTTACAGTTGACTACAGGTGGAATATACTTACAACTAATGCTGCTCATTTATCTACCAGTTGTAAAAAAAAACCTACAATAGAACAGTATTCTATAACAAAAGCATTGTAAGAAAATGCTGTATACATCAAATTACTTGCGCCGTTACATGGGGCTCTTCACTCTATTGTGGAAAGTCTAAGTAGGTCTAAAAGGCACGTTATAGCAATTCACAATGATGGGGATTAACACCCATATTTTTTATGTATGGTAGTGAAAGTTGGGTGTCATAGAATAAAACTGCGCCTTCGGCCTACGGCGAAGGTGCCTGGCCACACTGCGCGTTGTAAAGTTCATTGAGAGTTTATCGCGATAAACACACGCTAAACACAAAATGGACGCCGCAGACGCTCTGTATTATCCGGTCATAAATATGTAGGGGTAAAGATTAGGGGTGACTTTAAATAATAGGGTGAGAAATTGTGTGTTAAGAGAAAAGCGTGGTTTAAAAAGAAGTTGTGACAAGGATTAAGAAAAGAATGCTTTGGTGGTTTTCACACGTAGAAAGAATGAAAGATGAAAGAGTGGCAAAGCAATTTTATGCTACAGAAGTGAGTGGCAGAATCGGCAAGGGACGTCGTAAATGTTAGTTTATCGACCAAATTGGCGATATTTTAAAGATGTACCAATTTAAAAGTACCCTTAACCGACAAGCGTGTTGCGTAGTTATGGTGAACGCACACTTATCGAAAGAATTGAAGTCAAGGAGGTTTCGCATACATACCCATATCCCGTATACGGATATGGATATACGGAAAGAATCGACCGAATCGAAAGATTCGACTGCGCCGAAAAAATCGTTTCCATTTCCTTTACAGCTGGATGGTCAGTGCTTCAATAATGGAAGACGAAGAAAGTACTAATTAATTTAAAATAAAATCACTAAGTAATAATAAGTAAATAAGTATTTTTTTAATATATTATATATTATAACGCAAAGCTGTCAAAATGCGAGCGCATCAGTCGATTCAATCGCATCAACCGCATCGAATCTGATGACGTCATCCCGACTCAATTTACCTAGGATTTCGACGCGAGCAGGTGTGCGAGGTTTTATATGATTTCATATAAAGAATTTTAAAATTCGTTTCGCTCGACGCGTTCGTCTCGGATAGTATGCGTTCACCTTTAGCTTGATGAGAAAGAAGCGAGAGAGGTGCGTCAGGATCGTGTCCAACGGAAGTCCGTATCTATAGTCCCTTACCCCCTTTGGGTGACAGCCGTGAGAGTTTATGTATTATGAATGTACGTAATGTATGTAATGTACTTACGTCAGATCTGTGCCCGCGTAGGTTATAGTTAGTGCGTTGAGGCAACTCGTGCGGACGTCGCGCGTGTGATGACGTAAAAGTTACTCCGACCACTCCACGAACGTTGCCCGTAGCCAACCAACCCTCTTGATAATAGTTGTTGCGGTTCAATTTCCAACCTTCCTCCTGTAACAAAAGAATTAAAATTAAACACACACCTACATATTTGAGAATATGATGAATACAGTACACACACCACTTAACGCAAGTTTTGATCCTAGAGCTCGTTATGAAGCTTCGTGAATTGTAAAGTGTGAGTGAGTGTTTTCCTCCGAGCACGAGGGTGGAGGAAATCTTTTGTGTGAAATCATGTACTTGACATTCAATGTTGTATAAATATTTCTTGCATGTGGTTTCACCACATTACAGATAAACCCTCTGAGTGTTTCACGTAGATACCTAAGTACTTGCAATTTGGCATACGTATAAAAGGTTACGTAAATGTAGTGTGTGAAGTTGAATATTAAAATTTTCGACTAGAGATGTTAGTGTTGTGGTCTTGGGGTGTGTTTATTGATTTAAATATAAAAATTCACAGGTTTATTTTGTACCGTGTGTGTCATAACAGTCTAAGAACCATGGACAATCCAAAGAGTAGAAGCAGCTTCCGACAGATGATGGAATAAACATAATATAGGAGTTATATATTCAGACCAGTAAAGTGGATCACGGATAAACAATTGCAATTTTGGCATTGGGTAACAAATTCGTCTGCATTTAGCAAATCCTTCCAACTATGGGAATTCCAGCTAGTCCCATGTCCAGCTGTGAATTGTTTAAAGCCTGATAAATATGATACGTAATGATGTCGTTTCAAAAGAATTTCATCACTACTTAACAGTTTTGTGTGTAAAACAAACTAAGGTTTTACTGACGCAATATCCCAAGCATGGTAATATGATAGGTTATGTTATTAATATGATAAACATTATTCAGTAATAGGGCTTGTTTTGTGCTAGGAGTCTGTTTGGACTGATTAGAGAGCGGTACTCTAAGTGTGTTCCGCGGAACCCTAGGGTTCCGCGGTACCCCTGTAGGGGTTCCACAAGAATTTAGAAAAAAAATCAAAACACCTCTCTCTGGTCACTGGTCGAACGTTTTGACTCCGCCCGCCACTCGTATACTTGTGAGCGCGCAGTCCCTTTGATAAAAGCAGCCTCTGAATTAGACGCTATAGTTGTGAACAAGCGACTTTCGGCTCTATCTTCAAAAACATAAAGCCGAGATTGTTTACAACACATTTTTTAATGTTTCTATTTTTGTTTCCGCTTTTTGTTTATCAAAGGTGACGACTCGAGTATTTTTGACAATGTTCGAGTTCGAGTCTAGGACTAAGTATAAAAGCGGCGATCGCGCGTCGCGCCTCGGTTCTTTTCCACGCGGGCCCCGTCTTTGCCCACGCAAACCCTAATATTTTAAATGAACTCCAAATAGTTCAGAACCTCTTCTGTCGTCGAGCTGCGAACGCACCTTGGTACGTCCGTAATGCCGACCTTCATCGGGACTTAGAGCTCCCAACAATTCAACAATTTTTTAAAAAACTCTCTGAGAACTTCTTCAAAGCCTCAGAGTCGCACCCAAACCATTTAATTCGTGAGGCAGCTTCTTATACAGCCCCACCCCCTTCTCGCTATCGTGTCGGCAGGCCGAGAAACTCTCTCTCGGACCTGCCTAATAAACTGTCAAACGACCTGAACTGTCTCCTAGCGGTTCAGGCCAACTCTAATTAAATTAAATTATTGTAATAACTAACATTAATTTGCCTTCGTAGGCACTCCCTCAGCGGCACTTAGCCGTCTGCGCCCCCTCTTTTCCCATAAGAGGGTCGCTCATGATAAGGCACAATAGAGCTTGATCAGCCGGTTGCCTGTCCCCAAAGGCGGTTTTTAGGGGGTATCACTTAGGGTCCCCGGTAGGACAGTGAGTCCCTCATAACCACGATAGACCGGCTATCGTGGTATGCGTAATGCATTTTCCGCCTCCCTACGTATAGGGTAGCCCTTTAATTGCTTCGGGCGCAAAAAAAAAAAAAAGTCGCGCCTCGTCAGTTAGTTGACGATTAGCGTTCGAAGCCATAAGTTCCTACCTACCTACTTACAAGCTGGCTAGAGAATTGCGGAGTTTAAACGTGATATGAAACTAGTGTTTGAAACATTGTTCTACTGCCTGCTGTATTCTGATTGTATCAGTTTTGTACATTTCTTCTTTGGACTACTTGTCTCATAAACGCAGTAACGATTGTACATTATTTTGACCCCACCATCTTGACGTGTAACATTATTAATAAAGAAGAATGGAACGTTGGCTTAAAGGCGTTAAACGTGTTGCAACAACATCTTCTAATGACGCTGAATGTTCAAAAGCAGTACGCGCGGAGAATACAGCAATTACCGATCCAGACGATGATGCCACGACGTCAAGCTCCACGGTTTCAAAGACAAAAAAAAGGAAGTATGATGAATGATATATCAGTTTCGGATTTGTTGATTCCAACGGCTCACCTCTCTGCATGTTATGTAGTAAACTGCTTCCTAATAGTTCCATGGCACCTGCCAAATTGCGCAGACATTTAGAAACTGTACACCCCGAGTCTAAAGACAAGAATAAATAATTTTTTATCGTAAAAAAGAATAGTTATTGGAAATTCAAAAAAATATGATGCATGTAACACAAACTATCAATGAAAAGGCCACGGAGGCATCATATTTAGTTAGCCATCGCATTGCACAAGCAGGTGAAGCGCACACTATCGCTCAGAATTTAATAAAGTCATGTGTGTTAAACATAACAAAATGTATGCTCGATGAAAAATCTGCAAAGCATCTTTCTACTGTACCGCTATCAAACGATACTGTTTCACGGCGATCTGGCAAGATCAAACAAGAACTAGTTGCACGTCTACAAAAAACACGATTCGCCTTACAAATGGATGAGTCAACTGATGTCACTGGTCTGGCTATCTAGCAAGATACCTATAAGAACCAGCAGGTTATGGTGAGATATCCATATGAACGTTCTTTTGAAGAAGACATGCTTATGTGTTCACCGCTGCCACAAACACTACTGGGGAAGAAATTTTTAATAAAATAAACATATTTTTTAAAGAAAATAATCTTAGTTGAAACGATTGCATTGACATTTGTACAGATGGGGCCAAGGCGATGACAGGTAAAACAGCAGGAGCAGTATCACGAATAAAAAGTAAAGCGCCTAATTGTAGTTCCAGCCATTGTATTCTGCATAGACAAGCACTTGCGATGAAGCAAATGCCGTCAAATCTAAAATTAGTTATGGATGAAGCGGTAAAAATAATTAATTTTATCAAATCACGACCACTACATTCCCGATTGTTCTCATTATTGTGTGAAGATTATGGCAGCAAACATAAAACACTGCTGCTCCAAACAAAAGTGCGATGGCTGTCTCGGGGTAAAACTTTAACAAGGCTATTTGAACTTAGAGCCGAGTTACAAATGTTTCTTTCAGCAGATACAGTTTCTTTTAATGTGAAAGACCGTTTGTATGATAAAACTCTGTTGTTCCGATTGTCTTTTATGGCGGATATCTTACAAAAACTGAACGAATTGAATTTATCATTGCAAGGTAAACAGACAACAGTGTTTCAGACCTATAACAAAATAACTGCCTTCAAAAGAAAATTAGATTTTTGGATTATTTGCGTTGGTAAGAGAGAAATAGAAAGCTTTACGTCACTCAGGGAGTTTGTTAGCGATAACGACTCAGAAATGTTTCAAGATGATGTGTTTGAAGAATTGGTCCAATATCTCACTTCGATGCGCGCATCTTTTGAAAAGTTTTTTCCCGAAGAACAGAATACAAAAATGAAGCTGAATTTATGGATTCATAATCCTTTTTTACCCAACTTGCATTAGCCCGAAAGTATGTCAAACGAGATATATGTATCTCTTTTAGAAATGTCATCAGATACAAGTATGGAGTCTCTGTTCAAAATGACGCCTCTCAACGATTTTTGGTGCAGAATCCGTGATGAATATCCAATGCTTGGCAGAATGGCTCTGAATATTCTTCTCCCGTTCCCAACAACATATTTGTGCGAAACAGGATTCTCAACCTATGCAGCCACGAAAACAAAATATCGCAATAGACTGGACGCCGAACCTGATATGAGACTTCAAATGTCTTCTATCAAACCTGATATCAATCAATTGATGAAAAATAAAAAAAACAGTTTCATACCTCCCATTAGTTAAGATTTTTTCATTTTTAATATCTTCTATTATTGTACTTGCCATGTGTAAGTAATAATTAGTAACTGTTACATTGTACTTTTATTATGCTTATATAATAAAGAATACACTTTTAATAACTATTGTTTTATTGTAGGGTTCCGTCAAGTATTTTACTTGTCAAAAGGGTTCCGTCACCAAAAAAGTTTGAGAACCGCTGGTAATTAGACGAATGGTGTTTATCCAGACGGACTTCTTCCAACTAGCTGTCGTCAAGCACTAATGTAACCACTGTTAAGATCCGTATACCTAATAATAAATTACGGGCTCAGAAAGTAATAACTCACCTACTGTAGCTAAAGTTCACAGATCCTAATATTATACGAGTAAAAGAGTAACTCGGTATTTTAATATATTTACCGATTTGCATTTTATTTATTTATTTTATTTATTTAAGCTTTATTTGCACACATAAAAGAAATGTACAAAACGGCGGACTTAATGCCTAAAGGCATTCTCTACCAGTCTACCTTTGGTTTGTGCAGAGAATCTAGTGATGGGTGCAAAACTCATAATTAAAAAAAAATTAAAGGTTTAAGGAAAAAAATACAAAATTATAATATAATGATAATAAACAATACACATACATATACATTTACATTACTACTTACATGCATACAATATTATTTTATATATATACACAAATACCCACAATAAATACATACACAATAAATAAATATGATATTTTATACTATACATACTTGAGAATATAACAGTTTCTGAAATTTTTAAATTTTTTATTATAATCCGAAACTACTACTGCTTCTTTAAGTAATATTCCCAGAGTAAACGTTTAAAGATAGGTTTAGTTTTTGCTTCTTTTATATTTCTAGGTAACATGTTCCAGAGTCTTACTGC